TGCGATGCTGCTGGTACAAGGTAGCGTATCAACACAAACCTGAAACACACCCATGACATAGACAGCTGGAACTGATGGCGCTCTTCCTGTAGTACCATGTGTGTACATTAGAAGATTAGGTCAGTAACTTTTACAGGAAGCAGGTAATCAGCAGCTGGGGTCTGCACTTTATCATCAGTTCCCTGCTTTGATTGGCAGTTCATGTTTCCCATCACCAACTGTAAGTATCAAGAACAGATGAATGTGTGTGTGAAAACTTCTCTATTCCTTGTGTTGCTGCTTTTCTTAGCATGAAGAGCTCCTTTAGGCCTGTTTTGCTGAGAGTGCAGAGGACAGAAAGGTGGCAGCACAAGCCTTAACCATGGTTAAAAATTATTGTAGGAGAAAGACAGACTGAGGTCTGGTGCATACATGTCTGTCTGCGCTAAGGCCTCTAATAAGAGCCTGCAAAGGTGAGACAAATAGCAATTCTCCTTGAAGCTAAATGTTGTAAACGTACTGAACTGGTCTAGTCTAATTTAGTCTTGAAAAGAGACTGAAGACGAGCAAAGAAATCAAAACCTCTGCTAGAAAAAAAGCTAGTTAACTCTCAGTGGATGTTTGTCAGGGAGGGTGTTTTTAAAGTGGTATAACAGATAAGTAAGACCTGTCTGCGGGAAAAGAAAAGGTGAGAAAATAAAAATGATCAGGAAGAGCAGGAGGTGATTATAGTGGAGTACAGTAGTTCCTCGTTTATCATGGGGGATCCGTACCCTGAAGCCCCGCGATAAGTGAAAAACCGCAAAGTAGGAATATTAGCACAAGTAGTAAGTAATAGTTTATTTTATTATATATATATATATATATATATATATATATATATATATATATATAGGTGTTTTAAACCCTTCCCACACTCTTGCAATATTCTAAACAATGTTTCTAAACCCTAAACGCTCTAAAAGAGCACAGAATGTCATGATTTCAGCTCTCTGCCTCCTCTGCTCTCAGCCACCTGCAAGTGCTCTAGGCCACGCCCACTTCTCCGCTCTGCACGATCAACATCTGGTCAGCTGCAGCAGGAAGTTGATCCTGCAGTGTGGGCTGCACACAAGTGCAGCAGGTGCTAAATAATTTTAAATAATTTATTTTAAATGAAAAGTTCATGCCGATCGTGCGGCTCATCCATCCGTCAGCCAGTTGTGTGTCATGTGCAATCTTATTTTGAAAAACCGTGATAGAGCGAAGTAGCGAGGGACTACTGTACTGATTTAAATTTTTTGTTATTCAAGAGCGGCTGTTGGACAATTCATAATGCTGATTTCTTGGTTTGATTTTTATTCCTAAATATAGCAATTTATTACATGTACACATTACAGTGTGCTAGAATTCATTCAACCTTTATTTAAGCACGTTAGTTCCATTGAGCCACGAAGACTCGTTTACAAGAGAGACCTGAGTTAAAAGAAAACGGTAATTGATTTTAGAGCTTTGCTATTTGTTCTGGATAGTATAACATTCTTTTTCTTTAGTGTATTTTTTTAGTAAGCATATGTTGGTCAACTTTCTATTAGGTTCATCTGTATTGTATTAAAAACAAACAAACAAAAAAAAAACAACCTGCCATGAAAATTAACATCACAGAAACTTAATTTACAAATGGGTGTAGCATTGAGTGACATAACTGTGCTGCCCACAGATACGCCTGTCTTTTATTCAACATCATATGCTCAGACGCATATTATAATAAATAAATAAATGCAAACATTTGAAGAAATATTCAATCAGTTGATTATTTGGTTTACCCTTCAATATAAGTTTAATATTTTTTACAGTTTCCTTGCTCAACATGAGCATATGAGAACATTAAACCATTTTCTTTATTTTAATTTTTTTTTTATAAAACATGACTGCAGTCAGGGGTCATTCAAAGGAGTCCCGATGTTTACACTATACATAACCACTAGATTACCCTTTCTGACTGTGACATTTGACCTTTGACCCATGCCATGATTTGTTGTGGCCTGTTGACGTGTGAGCCAAGCCTTAACCAGCCTCTTCTTTTTACCTTTGTTTTTTTCCAGTATATTTATTTTCTCACTGAGGCCCACCAGGGGAGACAGTTTGACAGCCCAGTGTCCACTTTCAAAGGCTCATTTCCTTGTGTTGTTTTTGGGGGGCTTAGATGGACCGTGAAGGCCTGAGAGGCATCCATGCGAAGCCGAGCCCCATTCACATTCCCACAAGGCACAGCAGGAGGTGTTTTCTGGCATTATTTGTGCTCCTAACACATCTGTGTGCAGTCTTACTGAAGTTCATAAGAAACGCAAGCATATTTTTACAGATTTTACTGTATGAAAGAATCACAATCCCAATCCATGTTTTTGTAAATATGTTTTCCAGTATTTTGCGTGGTAAGTTGGTACTTAATTGGCTTAAATGCATCCTTTTGTAGCCTTAATGCTGCAGCCACACTCCCCACACAATAGGAGCTGCAGATGAGGGATTCTGGAAGAGCTGGCAGGTGCTTAGTGATGATGTATGAGAGGCCCATCCATAAATCTGTCTGGTCTCCACACACAAACACACACGCACATATAAGAACACACACATTTGTTGGATCAGGTATCCGTTAGACAATGTAGGGCCTCAGGAAGGTTCCCGATGTGAAAAGACCGGGACATGGTGAGACCTGAGAATGTAAGGAGTGCATGTGTTCTAAAGGGCTATTTAGTTTATTTACACCTCGACTCCGACAGGAATTCAATTGTGTGATAAAAGTAGCAAGAAGACCTTTGGCATGTAGAACAGATTTTAAACGAAAACAAATAATAAATGGGCAAATTTCAATGAAACATTCAGGAAATATACATGTACTTCTACTACTGATCACGTTTTTGAGCTGCCCACTTCAAGATGGCTGCCACAACCAGCTGATCAAATACTACTCATTGTGCGAGATCCTTTCCAAAAACTAGCATTAACTGTTGAAATCAACCTTGTTTGACTGTTAGCAAAAAATCTCATGAGCTACAGGATAGATTTTAATGTAATCTTCAGAAATTAATCATTTGATCTGTGACTACAACTGATTAACCTTTGGAGTCAATCACATTTAATTTGTCCACAATTAGATGACATTAGCCAACACCAGGGATGCCCACACTTTTTCAGCATGCGAGCTACTTTTAAAATGACCAAGTCAAAGTGATGCCCTGTTTACATGAGAACGATCTCCGGAAATGTTGGTGTTTTTTCAGTGTTTATTGGGGGTGATAAACAAAAAATGGGCGGGTTTACACAAAACAGTAATTTCCATGTCAGTCGGGTTGCCAGATAAGAAATTATGAATTGTCGCTTTAAAATGATAGTATGACCTAAACTGTCATATTAGTCATATGTCTTATTAGTAAAGATATTCTAAGATGAGGTGTGTGTTGTGTTTGTTGAACATGTGCACAGAAAAGGAGGGGGTAAATAAGACATTTTAAAATTATCTGGCAACCCTGATGCAGGCTCAGCTGCATTCATTGTGCATGCAGCGTCTGCATGACAGTTACGTCCAAACTGGTGAATACACAACCTTCTCTTTGGAACTGGATTTTATTAGTTTTGCTCCTACGTGCTGAAAAAAGTGTGAGTAGCACAAAAACACTCTACTCTGCCATTTATTATAACTGTTGTTAGTGCAGAAAAACTTTTGATCGTAGCCACCTTTAGTGTGCATGTGCGACTTTACACTTGAGGAGCATTACACACCTTTGTGTGTGTGTGTGTGTGTTGGTGGTGGTCCATAATGAGGGCTGTTGTAGTGTAAATGAACGACTGAACGTTTCACGTTGAGGGCCTCAGACTGGCTGCCCTGTCAATAAAGTGACAAATTTCATAGTGAGGATGCTGATGTCTATTTTTTTTTAAATGCCACTCATAAAGCCTTTGCAATCAACCGGTAGATTGCGATCAACGTATCGGGCACCACTGGCCAACACATACATAAAAAAGATTATAACAGTCATTTTTACCGATGTTGTACTAAAATTTGATGTGGTAGTAGCTGGGACTCATTCACAAGGCACAGCGTGATATTAGGCCTGTCATGATAACAAATTTTGCTGGGCGATTAATTGTGTCAGAAATTTTTGCGATAAACAATAATATTGTTTGAAATTTGACAATAATTAGTAGTTATAGTCAAATTTAAGAAAAGATGTTGAATAATTTGTTTTGTGTGTAGTACTTTTTTTACCACTGGATGGCAGTACAAGACTGTTTGAACTGAAGGATGTATAGTGAGGGAGCGAGCAGCGTGTCTCTTTAAGAAAAATGGGAGGGAGGCCCCTTGACATGACATGGGCTGTCTCTTTCGATTCTCAAAATGGTGGACGCTCTGTGTGATTTGAGCTCTTTAGCATAGCATTTGTCACACAAAGCTTTTAATAAAATAATCAGTAAACAACTTCTCAGCTTCTTTTTGCAGAGAAAAACAATTTTTTACACAAAGACACGGGTTTCAACCATGAATTCTGTAGCTTCGACAAGACGGAGGTTTTTTTCCTGAGGTCGGCCTGTTAGCTTAGCTCGTAGCTTAGCTTCTCAGCTTATCTTCTCAGCTTAGCTTCTCAGCTTAGCTGCTTTTAGCAAAAAGAGAAGAAAAGAAGAGAAGAAACGATAAAGCCAAAAAAATGAAAATGGGGTCGATAATTTTCATTTATCATGCGATTTATTGTTTATTGTGACAGGCCTATGTGATATCTTGTGAAATTGCATCGGATTGTGCATAAAGTTATTTTCAAAGTTTGCCCAAAACATCTACAACACTGTGGTTTATCAGTAACGTAATAATAATGATAGGTGGCGGGTGATATGCATTCCTTCCAGGAATGTTCGACATTTAATGGCTTATTGTTTTAAAGCAATTCCTGACATTTCAATTGATCAGTTCTGCCAAAGAGTCATGACAGCATGCTTCCCCCCTCCAACAGGTAGCTTGTGTTTTAAGAAATATCTTCTGTTTTTGCCAGAATGCCAGTCAGCTCAGAGCCTGCAGGTCCTCACAGCCCTGTGCCAGGGAAAGAAAAGCTGCATGGTCCGAGCCTCCACCAAAGAATTTGGAGATCCGTGTTACGCCGGCACCAGGAAGTACCTCAGTGTCATCTACACATGTGGTGAGTCCTGGAGCGATCGTCTTCAGCCGGTCTGTTCCCTCCAGCAGGAGGCGTTGATCACTAACGTATCAGCGTTTCCTGTGAGTCGCTTTAGGTTAGATGGGTTTTCATAGAGCGACTCACACTGAGTTTTCTGTTGGGTCTTTGCTGGATGGAAAAACAATTATTACTCATGAACACCGTAGAACAACATTTTGAAAAACGCTTCTATTAATTTTTCCATAAAACACATTTTAGTCTTAAAATTAATCCCTACAGACCTTAAATGATGCAAATGTTCTATTTTTGAGGCTACTTCTCCTTTTATCTTTAGTAGAGACATAAGTAGGGGTGCACTTGAATAGCTGATTTTATTCCCACCCACAGATGTTTGTAGTAGTTCTATCTTCTTCAACTTTATATTTATGAATGAGGGAAATTAATGGGCTTCCCACTTTATCTGCTTCACGCCCCCAGGTTAATCCTGATCTGACAAGGTTGTAAATCACTAACCACATGCTTTAAGACGCACACACACACACAAGCATGAACGATTGTTATTTAAGCGCCTCAAGCACCAGGAATTGATCAGTCAGCACCATGACGTGGAGCTTCTCAAATCCAGAAAAACATTTGGCCCCAAAACCCCAAATTAGCTGAGGCCTGCTCCGAGGCTTGGCATGTCTGTAGTTTTTCTTTCTTTTTTTTTTCAAGGTCTAATTTTATGGACTGCATTTTATTATATTTTTAACTGTTCCCTCTAGGCTTAAAAGGCTCTTTAGCTCCGTAGATTTACCTTTACAGCCTCGCTCAGTCTGTGATTTGTTGTCAAATCTGCATCTCTGTGATCTGATTGCAGCTCACGGCTAGTTTAGCTTTCAGGAATCCCTCCCTGCTGCATCGTTAATCTCAACGTCAGATAGGATCCATGCAGCCTTTATCTTAATGACAACCTGCCATTGGAGACAAACATGCACAGACTGTTCAGCTGTGTTTATGCAGTCGTTCGGCCTGAATGTCTGTCTGACCTTCCTTATCTCTTGCTGATAACTCGGCGTACAACAGCTCTGGTGTTGAGTTCAGACGATTGTGGACGGACTGTGGGACGGGGCAGAAAGAGGAAGGATGTGTGGCCGTAACGGCACCAGAACTGTTTGGATAGTTGTGTCCGTAAACCGTGCAGCGTGTAAAGGGACTGGTAGGGGGTTGTGGTGGGGAATGTTGAGGTTTGAATGTGAATCAGTATTGCTGCTGTAGACATAAAGCCACTGGCTGCTCAGCGCTCAGAGAGGGTGGTAATTTGGGGGGATCCTTTTTCCTCGACGGCTGAGTGGAAGAGCAGAGCATGCAGACTGGCTGTCCACTCTTGGTTGGTGATATTTACATGCATGCATTTATGTGGTCATCTTTACAAGTTTTGTTCCATCTGGAGCCTTACACAAAGAAATGGCAAGTACAAGATGTATATTTGTTCACAATAATTATTAAATTCATGGATCTACAAAGTGAGTTTCATTTTTTAATTTACAGTATTTTTTGGCCTATAAGTCACAGTTTTTTGTATAATTTGCATGCCCTGTGACTTATATGCCGAAGCAACGTATTTATGGATTTTTTCCCATATTTATAAACCAATTTTTGCTGAGATATGACTGTTTTCATTAATTCTGACTGAAAATATTGAACACTACCATTTTCAGCTGCTAGATGGAGGATTATGGCATGCTGTTGTGTCATGTAATAGATAAAAGTGGCTTTTAATGACCCAATTGGCTTGCCTTTGCTTGCCACCTTCGTCCATCTCGCCTGGAGCATCCGTCAAATCAGCTTCATTTTGAAATGAAGCTGATTTGACCATTAAAGTGCATTTATTAAGTAAAAGTTCAACAGAGACTCATCTCTACTATAATGTCGAGCAAACAAATAATTGTTTTAGGTGATTATCTTGTTAAATTTCAAAGAAATGCACAGCGTTCCTCTTCCTGATTTCCTCCCTCTGCGTGCTCCCGGAGCACCGAGGCAGCGATTACTTATGAAAAGCGCAGCTGATTTGACCGTCATAGTGCATTTATTAAGTAAAAATTAAACTGAGACACACCTTTACTATAATTTCGAGCAAACAAATAATTGCTTTTAAGTGTTAATTTTGTTAAATTCTTGTTAAAATCCTCCCATGCATGCTCACGCGGCCTCCATTTGGCAGCAATCGATTTTTGGTCCAACACCGGCCCACGTTTCCGGATTGTCAGCGATGACGCATAACAGATGCGACGTATACAGCGAAGCAATGTAGTTATGGATTTTTACACTTTATTAGACATATTTGGACTGATGTGACTAATGCTACGTGTATGGCAGAAAATACAATACAATAAATCCATTGTATGGATCATTATCAGCGTATACAGCTTTAGAAGTTTTGCAGCCTGTCAGGAGAAGAATCGTGTTTTTTATGAGTATGTATGATTTCATGCAAGTAAGTTTTAGACACATGAGCTTCTTTGATTTATGACACAGACTCTTTATCAGCCTCAACTTGCCTGTAATTTATAAACCATCAGCTGCAGAGAACCAGCTTCTGCCCTGCACAGCCCCAGGGATGGACTCGCTCCTCAGAAACAACAGGGAGGTAAATGGCCCAGGACTTGCCGTCAGTTTTGTCACAGATTAAACGCATGCTCCAGACAGCTGCCACTGTCAGACATCAGTAACATCGTCTTCCTCTAGGAAGTCCTCGTCATTTGTTTGTTTAAAAAAATTGCATAAAGAGAGTCAAATTGCAATAAGAAAGTAAAAGCAACTTTTAATACGTTGGTTTTTGAATGCTGTTCAGAGATGAGTTGGAAAATACTTTTGCAGAAATGTGTCATTTTTTTTCTAATTCTTCATAACCAAAAAAAAAGTTAATTTCTTAACATTTTATCCATCTTTAATCCAGTTAAAATATATTTTTGTGCAGGGTCAACCGGGACCATACAGTGAAAAATTCAAACAGGATGTGAGAATTAAAAAACTCATCTCTACAGTGCAGTAGCTGGTTTTGATTGAAAACTTCCTTTAAATGGATTTCTTCATGACAGAAAGGTTTATTTTGGGTCATGTTGTTGTTATTCTGCTGCCATAGAGGTCATATTTATCTCCCATTCTTCATCTACAAAACATCATTCTCTCCGTCTTAGTTTGACGTTCCACTTTTTTTGTCAGTATGGTAAAGCCACGGTGCTTTGTTTCTCTTTAAGTTATACAATACAGCAATAAAATAAGACAAAATTGACCTCAGCATGATTTATAAACGTTCTTACTAACGAGATTATATCTAGAATAATCTATCCCTCCTTCATCTTTTCCTCCATGTATCAGTCCAAATCTCAGGCTTCCATATCTTGAACGTTTTTCCTCTTTTCTCCCCTGAGAGATATAAAAACCTCTCGAAGCGACGATTTATATCAAAGAGAGGGGAGCTGTGTTCTAGTGTACCCCCATGAGGTTTCACATCAGGTCTGCTCTCTGTGATATGAAAGATCACAAGCAGCACAGCCTGTTTTGAACCGTGCAGAACAAGGATAGGAAAGAGCTGAAAGAACCAGCTGAATTATAAAGTAGAAAACGGGTACGATTTGGTGTTTAGCTGGTTGTCGTGCGTCCTGTGGGCTGAAGCAGCGGCCCTGTGTTACACGTGGCCCAGAAAAGCGAAGAATGAATGAAAACATAAATGTTTTATCATTATGCATGCAACAAACTACTACTGCTGTTCCAACTTTAGCACCAACAAACCTTGTAATATATCTGTTGAACTAACATGGCTGAATGTTGTTTATATATATATATATATATATATATATAAAACACAAGAGGTCTTACCTCGTTGTTTTGTGATTTCTTCAGACTTTTGAGACAAAGTATTTGCCTACTGGTTTACAGAGGTATGGGAGTTGTTTACATTCACAATCTTTCTACACGCTTTCCATGGATTATCTTTTTAATTTTATTTAGTCACACTTTATTATAACTTCACCTCCTGATGGACAAGCCCCCAAGGTCTGAAAAGCGAAGCCAATATGGAAATGATCAGTTGTTTTAACATGGGTAGTTTTAACATAGCAGGGTTGGGTTATCACTTTAGTTATTAAGTTTTCTACTCAAAAATAGGATTAAAATGACCGATTTGTTAAATTAAAGTGAATAATAAGTTGCGTTAAAAAGAACAACTTAAAGTCTAGGTTGTTAGTTAGCACCAACTGCTATAGTGTCAGCTAGTTTGCTTCAAGTAATGTTATTTTAAACCAAATTCATTGTCTATAGTGCAAACTAAAGTGATTAACAAAGCCAACCAGGCTAAACGGTTTGTTTTAAACATCTTACTTATTACATCCTAAAGCAGAGGTCCAGTCAGGTTTGATTTGGTCAACTTCTGTCTGAAAATGGCGGACTCTGAAGATTGACTCCGCTCATCTCCAATCAAAGAACGGGTCAAACGTTCTGACAATATTAGTCAAACCAACCCAACCTAATACCCAACAACTTCACCTCGGTTATTTGCATCATCAAAATAACCCAGCAGTTTTTAGTGTGTACAAACAATAGTTTGCTGTGAGTTCACTGTCTATGATAAATTTAGCTCTGATCTCAATATAATGGGATTAATCTTAGATTACAAAGTATATATTAAAAAAAAAGCCATAACTGCAAAATTTAAAATATTTTAAATTGCCAATTTATTACATTTGAACAAAAAAATAACTTTTTTCTTCTTTATGCTGTGCATATTTGACTCTTCCTTAATTTGTCATCTGGGGAGAAAGTTAAATGTATTATTTTTTTGTCACATGAGTTCACTTCTGGTGTTTGAAACAGAAATATTGTCATCGGTGGATGTTTCTCTGATATGGCTCAGCTTGACACATGTGACAAGAAAGAAAATAGAGGCACATAAAGATGTAACTCAGAAAGAAACGTGTGGTCTGAATTGGTTCTGCAGAAACAGGCACAGACACATGGACATATGTGAGCAAAGATACTTA